GCCCATTGAGGAAATGCCACCATGGGAACCCCGGAAGACAAGCTTTCTATGCAAGAATTCCACCCCGAATGAGTCAAAAAACAGCCCACAGAAGGGTGTGATAAAACCTCCAATTGGGAACACCATGGAACAATCATACCTTGTTTTTCCACTTCTTTCATTAAACTTAGCGTGTTGTCTTCTTCCCCCTCTGTACCACTTTTTCTGTCTCTAATCACCCACAAGAATGGTTTCTGGCTTTTGATCAGTCCTTTAGCAATCTCTTCCATTTGTTGCTTCGATAAATTGGAAAAGCTTCCAAAAGATACATAAATAACGGATAATTCGTCTTTCGAATTTAACCAATCAATATAATCTACAGTCTTCTGTATGAGATCACCTCCAAATGAGGTGTCCAAAGGATCCTTTCCATCTAAAAATGCTGAAGGAATCAAAGGTCCAATGCCCATTAAATCATACTTATTAAAAGCCCTTAAGGTTTCGAATTCCAATGCATCAAATGTGTTTACAAGTACCTTCTGCCTGGTCCCAGCTCCATCAAGAATCTCAAAATGCTCTTTGTAAATAGGAAGAGAAAAATTGTAGATCACAGGGCTTGAAGATTGCATAAAAGATGGCAAATCACTAGAACTAAGCACTAATGGCAGTCCTGGAAGTTCAACAACTTCACTGTTTTCTCCTGTGAAAATTTCATTCTTACAGAAATACAAGTAATAAGCATAAAAAACGGTAGCCGGTTGATTCCAAAGAAGCGTGGATGGGATTTGAAGCTCATTTGCCACTTCACCTGCCCATGTAACGAGAGTAGAGTATACCATATGTGTAAACGGGTGGCCTTCGTTTTCTTTAGCCAAGAGAAGATTTTTAACAGCTTCAGAACCGCAATTTCTGAAAGATGACATGAAATCTCGGACATCGTCAGCGCTTGTCCAGCCATTGTCGTAGCCATCAGAAAAAGGAGCCAGAGTCAGGCCTGGTATTGTCGAGGCAGCTTCGGACATGCGACTGATTGCAGATAGACTTGTGGAAAAGGTGACTTTCGCTCCGATTTGCAGAAGGCGCTTTGCAAATTGGAGGGACGGGTTTATGTGTCCCTGTCCTGGAAAACTCACAAGAAGGATATGGCAATTCACCATGTTGGAAAACTCACACGAAGGACGAGTAGTGTATCGCTTGGATTTTATAGCAGATTAATGATTATGACATGACGTTTGTGATTACACAAGATTCTTTGTCTAATTCAAAGAAGACAAATTTGCTGGGTAAAATCATTAGTCTTCAATCTTCATATGATAAAAACGTCGCTACTTTAAGTTTTTTGGTTTCTTACGACAAACGTTTAGTCCTCTTTGAATTCATGTGACAACATATGTATGGATAATTTATATAAACTGTTTTATTTATGCAATGATAGAAAGGGATAATGGACATGCGGATAATACTTGTAATTTCTATATTACGTGTAAATAAAAAGTTGTTTAAATCTTTATAAACATGAGCCAACATATACTAAAAAGTCTACTCCAGCTCGAGAAATGCTTAAGTATATTTCAACATATACTTAAGTTAATAGAGTCTTAATGTGAAGATAACATATATAGTCGTGAAATTTAAAAATAATTAAGTAAAAATAATTGAATTACGAAAGCCAACTTGAAATAAATATACTGTTAGGTGAACGTAGCACGACACTAATTCATTACCAATTGAGCTTAAAAGTCAAACCAAACTTCGAAATATCATACAATGGATATCGTATACAGTTGTGACAAAACATAACATGTTGGAAAAAAATATTACCAATTGAGCTTAAAATTCAAACCAAACTTTGAAATATCATACAATGGATATCAAATACAGTTGTGACAAAACATAACATGGTGGAAAAAAATGTAATCTTGTTCAAACCAAACAGGCATCAACATCGCTAATCCACGCCTAGAATTAAAATCGAAAGACTTAACCAACTATTCAAGAGCTTTACTTGCATTAATGAAAAATTGAAATCCAAATTAGGAAAAAACTGAAAGACGGAGACATTACAAGTAAAATATGAAAAGAAAAAGGTTAGAGAATTTATGCATTATGTGATTAGTTATTACTGTTGAAAAGTTGCTACTTGGGAGAGAATTTTATCGCATAGGTTGTAGGAGGTAAAGACATGCTCGTCTTTTCTTCTCTACTTTACAATTCTACCTTTCATTTTTTTAAGCATGTTTTTGGCCAATTCCATGGAAATCGAATTTTCATGGTTTTTGTGATTTTTTCTTTTCCATATTGTATAAAATTGGTTTGCCTTTTCCACTTTTGCAATCAAATGGACCCTAAGTGTTAACATTTGGTGATAGAATACTTAGTACCAGAATTTACATTAGTAAGGAAAAAAAAACGTATATATGACACAGCATGACACAAAGATGTTGTCTTATGAATAGTAACAAACTTTGCTCTTTTATATATTGTTGGGATACACGCACAAATATGAGTCAAGATTTGCTATCTATCCAATTAATTCTTAACACGTCATTAATTTAGTAGGTTAATTGTGAAGTTATAATGAGGATAAATTTGAGATGACATATTAATTATTAATGACATATCAAGAATTAATTGGATAGAGGGCAAAATGAGACAGTAAATCTTGACTCCACTGATACACGTACAATGATAGCACACCTACAATGATAGCCCGCCATTGAATCATCATGCTTATTCACCACGAAGCAATCAACTATTCGTCGACCATCACCGAATGAGAACTATTCTCCGTCATGAAATTTATTTATTTATTTCTTATTTATTATTATTATTATTATTATTATTATTATTATTATTATTATTATTATTATTATTATTATTATTATTTTAGGGTTTCTTGATAAATTTAGAGTCAAGGTCATCAAAATAATTTAACCTAGATTTCACGTGATTTCATACTTCTCTTTATGCAACTGACCTATAAATAATTATATTTCGTGTCTCTTTTCATGGAGATAACTTGACACCAAACAAAGGTGTCCAAAAAAGAGGATACAGGGACGCATGCGAAAGAATGAATCATCGCATGATATCGAGAAGTATTTCTATCCTTCCTTCGCTTATTTTTATGCTTAAATTGAAAACAATATAACTTTGACTTTGGGGGCAGATTCAACTTTAAAACTCAAATTTCTGTTTGTTTTGGCTTGTTTTCATTGCTTTACATAACATAGAAAAATTCCAGAAAAATTTAAAACTTTTCGAACATTAAAAAGAAAAAAAATAAAATAAAATTGAAAATGTCCAAAAATACATGTATTTGTGTTTCTTTTTGTATTACTTAATTGGATAGCCTTTTAGCTTACTGATGTATTTATATTTGAAATTGGGTTGATTTCTGATATGTGATCGATTAGCCTAGTGACACTTGGTGCTTATTTCCATATCTTACTTATTGTCGCTGGGCTTTTTCTAACAACTTGCAATGGTGTTGAGGTTTCCTGCCTCCAAGAAGCCAACACACGAATTTACACTTCCGGATAATGAAAACACACGAATTTTAACCAAGTATAATTGCAGAAGATTGAAGTACACTATTTTTTGTACCCTCAAAGTCATGAATGCTTCGCACTTAATCCGAGCTTTATTGTGTACACTATTGTAATTTCCAATGTGCTTTTGAAGATTTTCTTTTGTTTTCCAATTTGAGAATCCTCGCTCAACAAAAGTGTCACCTCATCCTCGTTCAACACTTGATTTAAAAAGATAACAGAAAAGTTAAATTCAGCATCTTTTGCTTTGTTATACTCCAACCAAGAAGATTGAAAACGCTTCAGAAAAGATTTTCCATATGTTTTCTGCAGAAATTTATGTTTGGGAGGTTGATAAGGACCCCTTCATATGTATGCTCTGAAAACTTCATCCCAAACATTAACACGATATTCCATAATTAGAACTCGTAGGCTAAGATCTGTAGAAAGTTTGCAACATCAATTTACCCGAAATATCTCTATCATCTCGAACGGCATCACTTTCATCTCAGAAAACATCACTTTCATCCTGAATAAACATCACTTTCATGGCCAATATCACGTTGGCTTCGATTATTACTTTCATATCCAATATAGCTTTAAACTTGAATATCTCTTTCATCTTTGAGCAAACACTCCGGCACTACTAGATTTCTTTTTATTAACATTTTGACCTTCAATTGAAATTGATGCTTTCCTTATTAAATATCTCTTCATTACTGTTGATATTAAATTGAGTACTATGAAAATAAAAATTTGCAATAAAGATTATAAATTTCACAAAATTTTAATAAGTCAACTAATAACTAAGCAAGTCTCCCCTAATCTATTAACTTTAGTACCAAATAACTTAAGCCCACAGAGGCTATTATAATTGTTCTCCAATCTACAAGTCTACCTCATGCCCAAAATGTAGATTGCACTTGCAGAGGGTGTTAGAGAAATAGAACAAGTCATTCCACATGGAAAATTAGTGATGTAGCTTATAAGGTCGCCTAAGAGCTTGTTTAGTTTGGATTAAAATTTAAATCAAATTCAAACAATCAATATTAAACACATCTTTCATGATCGCACAACTTTTTAGTCACACATTTCAAAAACTTCCATTACAAATTATTAAAAAATCTCATTTTAATCCCCACCAAACATTCTCCAAATATTTTACGTCTTTCTGTCTCTGGCATTGGATTCTCAAGTTCCATCTCATTACTTTTTTGGTTTGTTCTCCTGTCATTGAAGGGATAAACATTAAAGTGAACGGACAAGAAGTCAAAAGCATATGATATTGTTAGGCTTGGTTTGAAATTTGATGGTTATTATTTTTGTAATCATTGTTACTGTTGTTATCATTATTATTATGCAAAATTAATTGTTGTATTGTGTTGCCATGTAATCTGCTAGCTTGTTTGAAATAATTCCTTCACACACGTAGGCCGTAGCCACAACAATCAGAGTGAATTCTACAAGGAAAAAAATAAATAAATATTTTTCGACAACTGCCAATCAAGTTTGCAACTCCAGTTCTTGAAATCCCACAGCATTCCGTCATGCTGCAGGGTTCTAATAATTTACAGTTTCTAGCTACAAAGCCAAGACCTATATCTGTTATCTGTTCACAGCCTGATATCTTCAAATCCTTAAGTAATAGGCAGCCAACACCTATTGCCGACATGCCTTTGTCTCCCAGCTTCTGTACAAATGGGAAGCGACTACAGATGAGTAAAGACTAAAGCAAATCATGGGAAGTTTTGAACGTTATTTCAATTTGGCAATGTTCCATCATATCATATCTTAAAATAACTAGTTTTGGAAGACACGGCTGGTCGAATCAGAAAAACCAGCAACCAGACCAATAATAGGTTTGGTTATTAAAAATCTAGGTTGAAACCCGGTCGACCAGCAGTTTTGCACTGGAACTGTCAATTTTTAATACAAACGTCTTATATCCCTGTCTTGGATATCTCAAGATTCATCTAGCCACGTTTCATGGTATATCCAAATAATGGTGGATGCACTCTCAATTTTATGAAGTTATACATGCAAATCACTCCGAACATAGAGAGGTCGGAGGTTGCATAGTGGATAGACATTTAGAACGAAATGAAATATGTATTATGTATTTCAAAATCTAGATAATCTTGTGAAGGAGGTGACAAATATTAGTAGTATATTGGAATGCATCATTTATTCCACGTGATTAGATAAATACCAATCTTTGCAGTAACAGATTTCATAATCCAATATATATGTGATGCAGAAAAAGATAGGACAAGTATGACAAAAAAAATTTGTAAATAGAACTACCTTCAGCATAAAATCTAATGACTTGATATAGGAAAAGACAGGAAAATATGAATTTGAAGGAGGAAAAGGAGAGATTGCTTACTGGTCGCAGTAACATAGGATGAGGTCTGTAAGAAATTTACAGTTCCGACTAACAGAAATTATCCCTTCATCCCCCACCTATCCATAATGAAAAGAAAAATAAAAATGAATTACTAGAGAAACCAAGGTGACAGAGAACAACAATAAACACACAAAAGTAAAAACTATTAATGGACAACAACAAACGTCAAAGCCTACAAAGTATAGTGGATCACATTTCATGTAAAATCTTAGAACAAGGCTCATTAAGTCTTAACAGCCAAAAGCGTGAAGGGATCTTGTGTAACATTTTATGATGATCTCATACATGAAGATAGTTGAACCACTTCTATAACCAATTATATCATGGACAACTAAAGACAACGAACCAAAGTATAATCATCTAAGGGAAGTAAAACAATCTAGCTAGATGATCTGTGGATGTTAAATCAGGGCGTACTCGTAATTCCACTGCGAGAAATAAAGATGATAATGAAATGCAAGTAAACTAACGAACTGTTTCCTATAATAAACAGAACATCACAAATTCGGATGTTTTCCAAACACTAAAATGAATTAATCTTCAAGGATAAAGAGTTATACAAACATAAAGGTTTCAATTGTGATGGATGCACTCATAGCTAAGGGGGGAAAAAAGTACCCCAGGACAATGGAAAATATCGAGCTTCTTCAAGTTCCTGCACCCTCTTGTTATACCACATAAGGCTTCATCCCAAATACTCGAGCAATTGATCAACTGAAGAGATTGCAGGTACTTCCAACTAATGGCACTTTCACTTAATCCATCATAATTTAATTGTTGGAACGTCCCATGCCGCACCACTAACTTAGTAAGGCGGCTCCATTAAAGAGTGTAAGAATAAAATTTGTAAATGATCTGAAACATAGGGTACAGTAACAACGTGATTCAAAGCAAGAAACAGTTTAGACCATCACTTGGAAGTGGTTAAGGTCCTCACCAAAGTAATTGTGGGTTAAAATCTCATAAGAAGTTAAGAAGTGGTCAAGCTGCTTATGTGCAAGCTTTTGCAATAGATTTCAGTCCACCTATTCCAACTCCGTCGCCCTGAAGGACTTCAAGACACATAAGCTCCGCACAGCCAACAGCAATAGAATCCAAACCCAAGTCACTCAAAATTTGGCAAATGTTTAAGCTAAGACTTTTCAACCTCTTACATCCTTTTCCTATAGCACAAAGGCTCCTGCAGAGTTGTGAAGGAAAGAATAATATTAGTGAGCTAGCAGGAATATTGTCCATTCTCCTTCATCACTCCTACCCCTAAAAAAAGTGGAGAAATTCGAAATAAAGCACCATATAAAACACCATATTCTAACGTAGATAAAAATTAAAGTTGTTCCATTTTGACAAAATATACCCAATCTATCATATGGACTCCCATAAAGGCATTAATTACATAAAATAGACACTTGAGGCATGCATGGAGGTACACGATGAGTTTAATGTGCATCACTAGCCAAATAAAATTCAAAAATAAGAAAAAAAATCTGCCCTGCGTTATCAGTGAAACGAACAAACCTAAAGATGACATTTCTTTGCACCAGACATACATACCTTATGTCATTTAAAAAAATCATAACTTGCCTAATCTCCAAAAGAAAACAGAGTTAATAAGTTCAAATTGCATTCGTAACCTGAACCACAATTAAATAGAAAACCTATGTTAATCCACATTGCTTATAGTTTCAAACAATAGGTGGTAGAAGCCCCTTAAATGTACAAACAGAAGGGTAAAAGTATGGAGACACAAAACATGTTGAAATAATTGGTGGTTGAACAAAAATATATATTTTTATATGCCTCCAAATGAAGCACATCAAACAGGCACAATTACAATACACATACTAAAAGCTGCTGTACTTAATATAAGAGAATAATGAGATCAAGAGAATCCTTAAATTGATATCATTGTAATTCCAATGGGGGGCAGGGATTCCGTATTTTTAAAGTCATAAAAGACAACTTACTTGTCTGTCAATTTCTCACCGAAGTCTAGAGACAATAATTCCAAAGATAAACAGAAACTTCCAACCGCTTGCAATGTTTAAGCAAAGTAGCTTTAGAGATTTTAGATGAGAGCATCCTTTCACTATAGAAAGCAAGCCTTTGTTGTTGATGAACGCAGATTAAATCAATAAAATTTGAAGAGATATGCAGTGAAACCCCACAGCTTCTAACGACACATCAATAAGGCTTTTTCCAAACACAAGACCAAGAGATTTCAAAGTTCTCCCACGACCAAGGACTAACTGAACGAATCCAGTATCAGTCAAACTTTTGCAACGCTTTAAATTCAAATCTTCGAGTCGAGTACAATATTTTGCAATAGCAGCTAGACTTTCATCTGCAACACAAATATCCTTTAAGAAAAGGTCATAACAAAAGCTTAGGCATAGCATATTACATAGGCAGTAATCGGAGTTTAATCACTGATAATTTTAAACATGATCAACATATTATAAGAGTTTAGTGGAATCCAAATAAACAGCATGCCTAAGGCTAGGTTTGGTATGAAAGGAAGATGGGAAGAGTGGAAAGAGAGATGAGACACCACTTTATACCCATGGTTCTTCGACATATGTTAGTTGAAATAAAAGATTTAAAAAAAAAACACTTTCACTCCATTTCTTCCATCACTTTAGACCTTTCCCTCCAATCGAGCAAACGAAACTCAATTTCGCCCACATTTTCCCACTCCCATTAATCATTCTGTGTCTTTCTAATATCACAGGCTAAACAAATAAGCAAAAGGATTCTAGATTTTACTACAAAACAGCTATATATGTCAAAGCAAAAGTGCAAGTAGAAAAGCCAGATTCATATTCTAAATTCTCACACAATGCAAATGTTCTTCTATGATTTCGAGATAGCATGCCAATATTTTGATCCAAAACAGAGTATTCCTGGACTCGAACAGAATGATAATTAAAAATAAATGGTGGAATGCAAGTAAAAGTAATGGGCAATCACCTGTAAATCCAGAGACTTCAGCAATTGACATTTCTCAGCAATAGATATTAGCCCTATATCTGTTACATTACAGCACGAAGTCAACCTCAAACTCTCAAGTTTGGTAAAGCCACCTCCAATGGCAGCCAACCCCGAGTCTGATAAACAACACTTTCTCATTTTATCTAGTTCAGATTCGGTTATCGAAGTGAGAGGAAATAGATTGATAAGACTTGGTCTCACCTACATCAAGAGCAAAGAAAGACATTTATATAGAGAGATTCCACTAGAAAGCCAATAAATTTATCTTAATTGCAGTTTTAATTACATGCAAACTACCAAGGCAAATTAAGTGACTAAAAGAGTAATGTACTTCAGCATATTTACTATAAATTGAAATTTCAGTCCTCCACATGTGAACCTAGGACATTACAAAATTACACATATGAAGCAACTAGATAGATCGAACAACGATAAGGAGGAGCTGTTTTGGGATACGGAGTCTATTTGACGTCAAACGTCCATTAATCAAATTAGAGTAATGTTTCGCGCGGGTTAGTCGCTAACAATTAAAAAAGGATCAGACAATTGTGTAAAGGACAAAACCTCTTGAGACAAAGTCCCAAAAAGGGGTGTTTTTATTGGCGATGACTTTACAATTGGAAAAATAAAACAGAATGCCTCCAAGGGGCGCAAGCACACGAGTTATTAAAAAGAAGTATTTAAATCTAAACTAAGAAATTGAAAGTTACATATTCTCTGTTTGAGAGTGTTTGATTCGGGGTCCTTTGCTCCATATCTTTTCTTCCTTTTATACTCCCTGGATGATCTCTTCGTGATCAACCGCTTAAAAACTGCTTGATCGCTCTATAACTACCCACTTTCTTCATAGTAGCCAACTTATCATGGAACCGCCTTCTCTAACTGCTGCCATTACTTTTGTCATTCAACCGTCTTCAATTGAATTCCTTGAATCGTGGAACGTAATAGGGCTACTCAATAACTGCTTCATTAACTGCACCTTTGGGTAACCATAGCATCTTATGTTTGCTAAGATCCTGGGCGACTCGAAGGTTTGGACGAGAACAGGGTCACAGTTCTGGGCGACTGCATGGCAATCCATTCACTCAAATCTTGGGCGACTTGTAACCTTGGACGATGGTATTACCGCGTTCATGGGCTTCCCTATTTGGGCATTTATCCTGCATTGTCTGATTGGACCTTCTTTGGGCTATCTGATTTGGGGATCCTCCAATTGGGCTTCATCATTTGGGCTATTCCATTTGGGCTGAACTTTTGTGTGTCAACAATTACCCCCCAATATGGCAGAATTAATACCAATTATTAATTTTTGCCATATTCACTTTGTGTTTTCCAGCAACATTCGAAATTCTCAAGAATTTCAATCATTGTTTTCTTCCATAGCCTGAAAAGGTGCGACGTTTGCAAACCCTTATAACCCCCAAATACACGTCATTTCATTGCACCACTAAATCACGCCTCATTGTTTCGCGTTTCTCTCTCGCAATATTACTGTTCATCTTCTTGCTTCTCTGCTACGTAACTTCGACAAACTCTATTTCGTTCCTAATGGCTACTTCACAATCCCAGTCTGGTGACTCCTTCAGTTTCGAAGACATCCAGAAACTTCTCATTTGGCCATATATAACTCCGAACTTCCTTACACCAACCAATGTTGAACTCAATGAGTTCTATCTAGGTCCTTCATTTAACAACGTCGAAGCCATCGAACAAGCGACGGTCGGTTAGCTGTTCCCTTGTACTCAGGACCCTTCGTTTCTAAACTCTTTGTCGCTGAGGCCGCTTCGCGAAAGAGGTATTCGCACTTGGCCTAAATCTGATGTCGTTTTTCGTAAATGGCATGCTCGCCTTGTGGACCATGGTCCTACAAGGCAATTTTTGATAGTACTATGATTTCTGATTTGTTAAAAATCTCTCTTCAACCCCCTATTTTTGACCCAACACTTTTTCCAATCTCTTTAAGTTTTTGATCTTCTGAGTATAATACTTTTGTTTTTCCTCTTGGTCCCATGTCCATTACCTTAAGGAATGTTAGGGCCCTAGTAAATCTGCTACCTTTGGGCTATACCATTTTTCCTAGTATTTTGATTTCTGGTGTCGCCCCAAAATTTGATAAAAAACTTACCGAGTCTTATTCAAGCCTTCAAACCTGTCATAACCATTCGAGCGTTGAGCCTTCCCATGCTGAGCGTGTGGCCTTTCTTCAGGTTTGGCTTTGTAAATACATTTTGTGTGTGCCAAGCATGAAGCCCTCCATGAGCTATTTACCCATAGCGCACGAATTGGCGCATGGTAGGCTTCTAAATTTGTGTTCTTTCTTTTTAGCTGCCCTCTATAGAGGCATGACTTCTCTTCAATCCCAATTGAAGAATGGTGCATCTCCCACTGGCAGTAGGCCTCTTTGGTTCACTCAAATGTGGTTGAGAGCCTATTTTCCATCGCTTGGTGCTCCATCCTTTTCCAGTCCTTTTGGTAGCTGCTATGGGCTAGCCATTGATCCCCTGACTCCTGTAAATATGTCCAGAAGGGATATTTTTTCATTCTTTTATACTTTGGATTCAATCCCTTCCTTCTTTCCTTTTCCTCCCTTTTTGACTCCGGATTATGTGCAACCTCCATCCACTATGGATAGTGCGAGCACCTCTCTGTTCGTTTGGATTCAATTATTGACCAGGAGGGAGTTGTTCCATGATATTTTGACTGGAACCAATGCCAAAGATGGGGTTGAAATATACGCTCCCCAATTTTTTGCTCGCTAACTTGACTTTGGCCAAACTTGGCCCGTTCCCCTTGCTATTCAAGAAATTTAATAGACCGCTTCCACACCATTAATAAGGCAGAGGCAAAAGCTATATATACTCGCAATATTCTTTTGGGAGGAGCAACTTTTCATTAGCCCCTTTCAATCCTAACCGTGCCATCCATCCCCTTTTTGGACGACTCTGGCCGTCAGTGAAGCGCAGATTGTTTGCGACTGATGCCAATCGTGCTTTCCATTCACTGGACCAGCCAAACATTTCTTCCACCTCTCCTAACTTGGTCACTCCTATGTCTTTTAGGAGTCCCTCTTCCTCTGCTCGTGCTAAACAGTCTGCTCGTCCATCGACTTCTCTTCCTGCCAAGCCCACTGCAACTAAAAGTGCCCCAAGCCGCAAACGGCCAGCCTCAGCATCTCCTATTTTGGAGGATGATGCTGATGATGATAATGAAACCCCTCTCATCGTCAGGAGGAAGGTAATTAAATTGGTTTACTCACAAGCATACCTTTCCATACTTGAAACTTTTCTATGTGCTGATGGTTTATTTGGATTTCTCAGAAAAGTCCAGCCTCTCTTTTGAAGGTTTTGGTGTTGGCAGCTCCTGCTTCATCGTCCTCTGCTGAGGCTGCTTCGTCCAAACCAGCTGATGAAGGGACTACGCTTAAAAAGAAATCTTCAGTCCCAGAATCTTCATCACAACCAATGGATGAGCCACCTTCTTCCCAGGGTGTCGACCCCCAAACATCGAAGCAGAAGGTAATTCATTTTTTGATGCTTCACCTTTGCTTGTGCTATTGTTTTTTTTTTTTTTTTTTTTTTGATTTGTTGCTTTTTGAGTTCTGCAGATGCTCCCATGAGTCTGCCCGTTGTGACAAGTTCTTCTCGCTTAGACAAGGGGAAATCTTCACGAATGGTGGAGCCACAGGTGGTAGATTTGGCTGGGGATATGCCACCTTCCAAGATTGCTGATGAGGTAATCTTTGCTTCACCTTTACTTTCACTTTGTTTAGTGTAGTGAAAACCTTCAATGTTGGTAACTTTCTTTGTAGGATGCTGATAAAATTGTGTGTTCCATCCAAGACTTGTTCACTTCCTAGGGGCAAGTCAAGACATCTCGCCCTGCTTCAGCCAGTCTTCCTTCTGCTTCTTCAGAGGAAGACATGAAGTTCTTCAAGCAGTCGATATTTGAGTATGTGTCCTTCATGGATATGGACATCAGTAAGGCTAGTGCTACCAAGCATAAGGATAAGCTTGAGCATTTGAATACGAAATTGGAGCAAGCACTGGCACTTCCGTCGCTCAATCTTTCTGCTGATTTTAAAGCGACGTTGAAAGTTGTCCATTTCGAGGTCCTCCCCTTGCTGGCCAAAAATGTTGAACTGAAGGCCAAAAGTACTCAATATCTTCACGCCGTGTCTGAAAAAGAGTCCTTGCTTCTGGAGATCAACAAAGCTGAGGATGAATTGAAAGAAATCTCTTTCGAAGTCATGATTGAAGACTCTTTGATGACTAGTTTGGCTGCACAGATGAAGGAGCTTCAAGCCAAGATGGACGACTGCAAGGCGAGAATGGCTGCTAAAAAGCGTAATGCCCCCCCAAGGAATTGAGCGAACTAAGTCTTTGGTCGAGCAGGTTGATGATGATGTTGTGGCTGAATTGAATATGACTTCTTCTCGGCAGAGCGAGGACTGGGGAAGACTTAGGGAAAGAATTCATTTGGTATCGGGCGAATTGTAATTAAGACATATAATGCCTTAACTTTTTCTTTTTATAATTTCGTATTGACTTTTCCTTTGTAACCTTGTACTGATATCCATTGCTAATTTTGATCATAACAGCAACCATCATTGTTAATGAATAACTATTTTAGCTTCTTGTGTATTTATTGATGTTTGTCTTTTAATTGTCAATCGCTCAAGCATTTAACTGCTTTCTGCTAAAATTATTTGCACATTTTCTCTTGATATTTCTGCCTCTTTTCCCAAGACTTTGGGCCACTTGATTCCATTTGCTAGGCACGAATGTGGCTATTCATATTCTGTCTTTTTACCTTCACTCCCCTATAAATGTAGGTATACTTCACACTTTCCATCTTCATTTCCATTTTCTTCTTCCAAAAACCAATTTGCTGCCATTGTTTGGCATTTTGACAGTCAATCCAAAACCTTCGTTTTCCATGGAAATGGATCATCTGATCCGCCCATTTTGTAATCTTTCTTGATGTCACCTTTGGTATGGGAGATATAGGAAATATTCTTTGGCCGGCGAAGTTCTTCCCATCATCTCCATGTTCCTTACAAGGAGTTCGATGATGGAAGACAATTTTTGAGGGCGCCTGCAAGCCACCTTGCTTGCTGAGAGTGCTTCTCAACCTCTTTACCCGTCATTGCAGCAATGCATTTAGGAAGGCGATGTGAAGGCGCTTAATCTTCCTTTCTGCTTGCTGAGAGTGCTTTTCGGCCTCTCTGGTTGCCTTTGCAGCGGTGCGATCGGGATGACGATCAAGGCCAGTACACCCTCTTACTCGGCGATCGACCGGGAGATTAGTTTGCTCTTAATTGTAGTTTATAGAGCATTTAGCATCTTGTATTTTGCAGCTTTGTAATGAACGTTTGATAAT